TGTAACAACAACAAAAACAACTATGACATCATCTTTGACGTCATCAATGGCATCACCAAACAAACAACATCAACATAGACAAAAACATCAACAACAACAACTACAACAACAACATCAACAACAACAACATTAACAACAACTACAACAACAACACCAACAACATCAACAACAACAACATCAACAACATCAACAACAACAACTTCAACAACATCAACAACATCAACAACAACAACAACATCAACAACATCAACAACAACAACATCAACAACATCAACAACATCAACAACATCAACAACAACAACATCAACAACAACAACATCAACAACAACATCAACAACATCAACAACAGCACATCAACAACAACAACAACATCGGCAACAACAACAACATCGGCATCAACAACAACAAGGACATCAATAACACCTCCGATAAGGCAACTACAATAATATCTCCCAAATTGCCTAACAGGTCAAAAAAATTGTTTCAAAACGACAGTTATGGCCAGAATAAATACAAAAAAGGTACAAAAGGATACAAAAAATTACAAAAATATACAAAAAGATACAAAAAGGCAAAAATATACAAAGTCGTATAAAAAAATATACAAAAACATACACAAGAACTAAACGTTAATATGCAAGAGAAAAACAAAAAATTTGCAAAGATATACAACAAAGAAAATGCGTCACTATAACACTATTTTCGCAAATTATTACGAAAATAAATACTTGAATATTTTGGTCTATTAATTTTTTTATTATAGATCATATTTATTGAAGGAAATTTTCATTTAACATGTTCAGAATTGAACCTAAGTGAAATAAATGATAAATGGCACTATTTTGTTATTGTTTTAACAATTTTGAACTTTATCTTCAATGGCGGCCACTTGAAACGGCCGGCTCGGCGGGCCTAGTTGTGGCCAGCCGCCAGATGCACACCTCCGTTCTAAGCCAAGACTACAAAGAAAACGAGGTCATAAAAATCGCAAGATCGCAATCTTGATGTTGTTGTTGATGATGATGTTGTTGCTATTGTTGTTGATGTTTTTGCTGTTGTTAATGTAGGTGGTAGTGTTGTTGAAATTGTTGTTGATGCTAATGTTGTTGTAGTTGATGCTGTTGGTGATGATGTTGT